CAGAAGAAGTCCAAAGAGCAGACCTCCAGACCTGGATCAGAACTAGTCCGGTACTTTTATTGGAATTCAAAGAAAGGAGCAGGAAACCAAAGACAACCACGAGCACTGGATACTGAAGATAATCATGACGACTGTGTCCACCAACTGGAAAACTGAGTGGGAATGATGTCAACCAACTGGAAAACTGAGTGGGAATGATGTCAACCAACTGGAAAACTGAGTGGGAATGATGTCCAACAACTGGAAAACTGAGTGGGAATGATGTCCACCAACTGGAAAACTGAGTGGGAATGATGTCCACCAACTGGAAAACTGAGTGGGAATGATGTCCAACAACTGGAATCATCTGTTAAAGCTCACAAAGAAGAAAGTTCCAGATTGGAATATGATTTGTTTTCAGCAGTGAAACTGTTTGAAAAATGAAATCCATCCATCCATCCATCCATCCATCCATCCATCCATCCACCCATCCATTCATCCATTCATCCATTCATCCATCATTCATCCATCCATCCATCTGTTCATCCATACATCCATCCTTTCATCCATCCATCTATCCATTCACCCATGCATCCATGCATCCATCTATCTATGTGTCCATCCATCCATATATCCATCCATCCATCCGGTGAGTACTGTATAAACAGGATGTGAGACTGAGGTCACTTCCTGTCAGGCCTAACTGATGGAAACTGTACAGATTGGAACAAACAGAAAGAAAAACTAACTCAACCTAAAGTGATCTTAACAAAACCAATAACTAGAACAGGTCCAGGGCTGGACGTGAACCTGAGACGACCTTCTCCTCAGACCTTCTCCTCAGACCTTCTCCTTCTTGGTTTCATCTAAACGTGGGTTCATGCAAATAGAAAACTGTAGTCCAGGTGGTTCTAGGTGGTTCTAGGTGGTTCCAGGTGGTTCTAGGTGGTTCTAGGATGCTGTTAAAGGTTGGTCCTCTGAGGAGGTGACTAATAGTTAGGTGGTGACCTGGTGGCTGGACCTGGACCTGGACCTGGACCTGGACCACACTGACCCAGAGTGTGTTGATGAGGTGGACTGGTTCTCTAGAATCCTCCTGTGTTTTTGACCTCTGGGCGGTGAAGGTGTTGGTGGAACTTGTTTCAGGTAGTTGAGTGGCAGCCGGTCCGTGGACCAGTTTCACACCGTGGCATTTCCTCTGCGTTCCCAGGTCCGAGGCGGTACCGTGTTCGTTCTAGAAGGTTCTACTTCCTGTGAGTCCAGAGGTCAGCGCAGCGTCTGGACCTCCGTCAGAATCCTTAACGCTACTGTGGTGTGGCGTGGCGTTGCAGCGACACCTTGTGCCCCAAGGTGGCAGCACGTGCTGGTCAGTAAGCGGTTCTGTAGCCACGACGTCCAAACACGAAGCTGACGTGTTCTTCGTCAGATCAGAACTGGACTCTGGACCAACACCGAGTCTGTACAGAGTCCAGAACTGGATGAAAATGAACCCAGGTCCAAAGGTCAGCGGGGGTCACCAGACCAGTGTGTGTCCCAGCACCAGCTGAGCTGATCTACCAGATGTCAGAGCTTAGTTCTCTGCTGGTGAGAGGAACCAAGGTTCTGTTGAAGTGGACCTCGGACTTCTTCCCAAGTGTGCTGCTCTGAGACACCTGGGGGAGACAGAGCAGAGGGGGGGGGGTGAGGAGGGACGTCCTCCCACTGAGGAGACACAACAGCAGGTACCAGGGCCAGACACACACTTGTACTGCATGTCAGTGCTGCATGTCAGTGCTGCATGTCAGTGCTGCATGTCAGTGCTGCACAGGTGTGTTAGAAAGACCAGACATGTGAGTCTGAGCTGATCTGATCAACAGACCTCTGGCTCCACACTCAGCTGCTCTCAACCCCTGAGGAGAGAAGAGTGGTCCACGTTGGAATGGGTTTCATCTGCTCACATGCAACATCATTACCACACCACGCCCCCCCCTCCTCCCCCCGCCCTCACCTGACCATTCAGCAGCGTCATAGGGATGTTACAGTAGACGTGGCGCCCCCCCGGGCCCAGAGTGGAGAAGTGCACGGTGGGGGGAGGCGGGAGGGACGGTGCCAGAGAGGGCGGCTGCGGAGGAAGCTGGAACTCGTAGCTGCGGCAGAAATGCCTTATCTGAGCGGCCGGGTGGCTGCCCCCTAGGGGCAGGGTCATGTGGTTGTAGTCTGGAATCTCAGTGGCCAAAGAAACCTGTGAGGAAGACAAGGTTCTCTTTAGACCTGGGACTGGAACAAAGACCACGGAGGTCTACATTTATCAACCCGTGAAGACACGGTTCGTCTTTTACCTCCAGGTTAAAGAACCCGAGACTGATTTAGAAAAATGTTACACACATAAACCATGAACCTGATGTCAGGGCAGACAGGTCTCTGTCAAACCAACAACTCCTGTGGATTACAGCGCCATCTGTGACCAAAACATGAAAATAAAAAAGTAGAAATAACCCAGCGCCACTAAACAGATTTTGCATCACAGTCCAGCAGGTGGCAGTCCAACAGCCTAGACCAGGACGTAGACCAGGACGTAGACCAGGACGTAGACCAGGATCAGGTGGTCTCTCTGCTGCCACACGTCTCCATCAGGAGCTGGGCGTCCACTGGTGTCCCGCTCCAACAGGGGCTGTAGTCACGTGACCCCATGGGGAGGTCATGTCTGTGAAGTCGTTGACCGACTGTTGTCTGCTCACGTCCACACCTTCACCACGTGACCCACCCACACCCAGATCCACCAGACGTGGACCAGCTGACCTCATGAAGTCCATGGCGTCCGTCTGGAGGTGGGACCAGAGACGCAGAGGTGGTCGTCATGGCGATTGTGGAGACGGTGGTCTGTAGGTCACCAAAGAGACCCTGTTCCCCAGAGTCCAGCACCTGTGACCACGAACACAGACTGAGTCAGTGAAGATGTAAAGGTCACACGGTTCTGTCTGGACAGAGAGAGTTCTGAACCCAACCTGGTGTCTGGACAGGTTCTCCCTGCGTTTGGCCGGCATTTCGTAGACCACCTGTTTCCAAAACTTGGAGGACAGCTCACTGCTTTTTGGACCCCTCCACTTGATGATGGACAGAACCTGGGGAGAGGACAACGACCAACAGTGTTCACAGGTTCTTTGTCCTAACCCGGTCTGGACCGGTTCTAGACCCACCTTGATGGTGTGCTTCAGGGCCTCCACCTCCTGGTAGTTGATGACGTTCTTCAGGTTGGAACACTCGATCATGATCACCTGGACACACTTACGTCAACTCACACTCACAGAACACAGCGCCACCCACTGGTCACTGACGGGATTTTACCTTGATTTCTCCAGTAACCAGCATGGCGTGGAGGCGTGTCTCGATCTGGAAAATGCTCCACCCCCTTTTGGCAACGAACTCCGGAGTCAAAATGATGATGAGTCTCCTGCTCTGCTCCACGCTGCGGGCCAAGTCCTCGATGTAGGCTGGAAGACAGAGACGTGTGGAGACCCAGGACAGAAGTGGGTGTGTGTGTGTGGGGGGGTCGGGGGGGGACTGACTCACCACTGCTGGGAATCAGGTCTCGGTCTGGGATGAACAGCTTGTAGCCGTAGTGTTTCTCCAGAACATCTGGAAGGATCTCCAGAGCGAACGTTTCCTCGTCACTGCTGGACCTGACAACAACAGTACAGTCTCACACACACACACACACACCATAACCAGTCAACCAGCAGGTGTCGCTGCTTCTGTGATTTCTGACCAACGTTAAGATAGAGAGAACTCCGACCTGCCCAGAGAGTCCAGGTCCACTTTGGTGTAGGACAGGTAGGCATCGTAGTCTTTATTATCTGTGGGAGAAGGACCATGTTATAATTAGCCGCGGCTAACTGTTAGCCAGCAGCCGGCGGACAGAGCAGGACTTCCTGTGACCCGGCGTCGTACCGTCTTCCGTTTCATCGCTTCCAAAGTGTCTCCTGTAGCAGAGCAGGATCTCCAGGTTGTAGCACTTGTACAGGGCGGTCAGGACCCCCAGCAGCAGCAGGATGACCCCCAGACCTCCAGCCAGCTCCAGACGATACATGTCTGCAGCCACAGAGACAGAAGAGAAGAAGGTGTGAACAGCCAGGTGGGGGCGCTGCACGTCTTAACTGAATTCAAATGTAAAATGATGCTATTTTTCTTTTATAATTTAGAACACAATATGAATAAAAACCACAGATCTCCACAGACAGCTGCTTCAGAGAGTTCTCTGAACCACAAATCTGCACAAACTTTAAATTTGACTGATTTAATGTCATGTTAGTGGAAACTACTGTCTGTGCAAGTCTTTTTAATGAAATAGTTCTCAAATTGGCCAATAGAGGGCTCTCTGACACAGGAGGGAAGAAGACGGCGGTGAGAACACAGCAGTTTATTAGCGTGATAGCATCACTGCTTTTTATGGTCTAGACAAATTTAGTAGAAGTCGGTCTTGGCCGAGGCTAGGCTAAGCTAACCATGCTAACACCGCTCTTTGTCTTTACTACGCTTTGTATTTACCCTTATACTTTTGTTGTACAGATATTAGAAGATCATTTGTGTTTTGATCTCAACAAACGAGTCGGTGGAAAGTTTGTAAATAGTCCCTGCGCCCTGATTGGATGGAATCCTCTGAAAGTCAGACTAAATTACAGAACATTTTAACAAATAGATTTGGAGCCTGAATGTGTTGGTGAAATAATCAGAACAGTTGTTGGAAATCAGTGAAATCTCCCATTAGGTTCCTGTTTAATCAGTAGCAGTTTATTAACAGTTCTACAGTGAACATATCTAATCATCATAATAATCATCATAATAATACTTTAACATAATAAAGTTGTCGTTCCAACACTCCAGTCTTTGGGCTGAATCTGAGTGAAGTGAAAATAAAAATTAAAAAAAAGCCCAGCAGGATTTGGACTTCAACTGGATTTGATCCCACAATCCAACTGGGTTTTTGGAGCTGATCCCACAGCAGCCCTGGCTCACAGACCTGGCTCACAGACCTGGCTCACAGACGTGGATTTCCTGGTCCACATGAAGATCTGGAGCAGCCGATGGTGAATCAAAAGCTTTGAGTAAAAGCTGCTCCTTCTGCTTGTCATTTCTGTTCAATCCCTTTCTTTCTCCCTCAGTCTGCCTCCCCCACCTCACCCTTTCTCCCTCCTCACACCCCCATCACAGCAGCTGAAAGCAGCTCTTTCTGCTCTGTCAGTTACAATAAGTGGCCGTGTGTCTGTGTGTGTGTGTGTGTGTGTGTAACAAAGATACATCAACTTATTACCCCGGGTCACTGCAGGGTGGCAGAACACAGTGAATTACACGGAGCGTTGGTAGGTTCTGCTGACTCAGAACTTAGAACTTAGAACTGTGGTTTCTTTGATGTCTTGGAGATGAAAGTTTTCACTCGACGAGAATTGAACTTTTTATTTGAATCTCTGGCCTTCACAGTTTCAAACACAGTTTTTTCTTATTTCAATAATGTCCAATAAGCGCTGCTCACAGCAGGATGCTCAAACAGAAGCCCGTGGGCCACATGTGGACCAGACACAGCCTCACAGTGGCCTCCTCTGTGCTCAGAGGACTTATCATCAAGGTCTGAGAGAGTGTCGGCTGGAGGAGGGAGTGGAGGTCAAAGGTCAACAGAAAAAAACAGTCGCGTTTACTCCGCTCTGAAGCTCATTTTCCCAGAGACATTTTTCACTGCCTGGTGACAGTCGGTGTGAGGGAACAGTCGGAAACAAACCATCGCTCATTTAAACAACACCAACCGCACGGCCCACCCTCCCTCCGCCCTACCACTGCTGCCCTGCAGGGGGAGATACAGCGGTGAGGTAACCATGTAACCATGTAAGGAGAACTTCTCACCTGTCAATCATTCATTTGACACCTGTACTTTATATTCACTACAGAGAGTGTCAACTGCATGGATGTGGTGACCTCTGACCTCTGACCTCTGACGGCACATCATCACATGGTGGTACTCTCTCCTTTTATACGGCAGTACTTACAGATACTCCCAGTACACTCAGTACCCACAGACGGATGTGTACTAAATATTCATGAGTACTGACAGTGTTAAAGGAGGTGTGTGTGTGTGTGTGTGTGAATGCAGCAAATGAAGAAGGCTGAACTGCAGAGGGTAGATGGTAATTAGAGGAACCAGGAGGAACCAGGAGGAACCAGGAGGAACCGCTGTCACGTTCCAGCAGGATCTCTGTCTCCATGACGGAACCATCACTGTGTGGGAGCAGAGCAACGAGTGACGCAGCCACGGTTGGTGCAGAGCAGCCCACAGGAAGCTGGGAATTTATTTAGGTTTAGGGTCAGGAATAAAAAAAAACCAGGACGAGTTTGAGGTCATTCTGCCAGGACTGGAATTCAAACCAGCAACTCTCCACTCAGAATCTGCATCCTTCCATCAGCAAATGGAATTCATGTTGGTAGTTAACAGTTGGTAAATTCACACCATCAACCCACAGCGTGAATGTGACCACACAGACGGAGAAGAACCAGAACCAGAACCAGAACCAACTAAGACAGATTGGACCCCCCCAGGTGAAAGAAAAATAAATGTTTTTCCTGCCTCCTCTCCTCCCCCCTTTATTTTCTCTCCACTTTGTCTCCCCCGTAAACACCCTCTCATCAATTACCACTTATTGTTCTCTCTCTTTTCACCCCCCGACCCCCCC